TACTGAAGGCATTTTGAACATGACGTAATAAATGAAAAAAGTTAGAATCAAAAGTTATTAACTTTATCCCATTCATCATGAAATAAAATAAGTATGAGAAACTTTTCTTATATTCTTTCTATAAAATACTTTGTTCATCTAGGATTGCTGTATAATTTCATTTTTCGATTCTCATTTCAAATATTAATTCTGTTTAACCTTCCTCATATACAACAACGAAGTTTCGCAAAGTCTCCGTCACGAACATACCATTTCACTTGCCATGAGTTTCGCAACAGGTGCCTAAGGATTATTTCAACAGGAGGAACACTCAATTTGCTTGCGTATTAATAATTTCATATTGCGATTTGCAAATTGCTTTAAGATTATGCCGTCGTACTCTGGGAAGCTCTTTGATTCAGATAAGTAGATCAGGATCACTATGGTTGACCTGAAAGTGTAAATGTATAGTTTGACTTACTGGGGTGTAATTGAGAGGCGCACGGCTGACGGCGATCGCCGGGAATCCAGAGGGTTGCGGGCTTGCGGCTTGCACGTAGCCAACGCTATCGGCGGCCGAGCCATACACGTCAAGCGCCGGACCCGGCGAACTTGCGGCCGGGAAACCAGCTCGTCCTCCGGCAGCGTGCGGCGACGCGGGTGGACCAAATCCAGCGGCTGCTGCTTGGTAATTGTTCATCACTGCGAATATAACATCATTTTAGACTAAGCTCACCTTGAAATGCTTCTGGCAATCAATGTCTGGACCTTTTTTAACCACCCGCTCATTAGTAAATTAATACCCACATTATTAGCATACAGTTTAATTAGAAATATTCTACAAACCCTAATCAAATATCCTCTAACAAAGTTTGATTGAGTTTTAAATTCCGGATATACGGAATATGCGATTTTAAGACTAAAAATCGTTTAAGTCTAACTTGCTCGCGCTGGGCAAAGCTCACTGGCTCGGTGACGGAAGCGAGATAGACAGTGAGCCACGTGTTTATTCAGCCAGCGAAAATGCGAAACATTGTGCCAGTCGTACTGGCCTTTTTCGTATCACTGAGCGATGCTTTTCCAATTCCAAGGTGTAATTTTAACTCTGTTATACCAGAGCTCGGAGCCGGATTAGACTTTTATTGTTTCACTAAATGCAATGCATTAAATATTCCACAACACCTATTATTTAATGAGAAACAATGAAATTGAGATGTCACTAGAGTCGCACCACCAATTACCGATACTATAAATAGAAAGGACAGAGGGGTAAATTACACACACAAAGCAGTAACATAGCGCTTATTTCCGTAAGAATGTTATGATGACTTGTCACCGGCGAGAAATGAATGATGTTGGTGTCAAGTATATATACAACTGTGTTTCCCGAACTATGATGTGGAGTTCTGTGGAATGATACAAGGTGTGTTCTGTCAAGGATGATGTTAATGGGCTGGGGGGCTTACCATGAACACTCGTTGTTTGTATAAGAAATGTTCCAACTGAGAATCAGTTGCACTTATTTCTAGAATGAATTGCAATGTTTATGGTGAAGCCCCGCGTTAGTGAACACCCTCAATGTGTAGTGATGTGCAGTAGTGATGGCATGTCGGCGTCCTCACCTGAGAGCGCCTGCGCCAACAGCGGTGTGTTGTTGTTCGGTGTCAGTTGGCCGTTGGTCAGGTCAACTGCAAACATACACACGGTTCGCATCCGCTCCACGTACACGAGTGACGCGCACACTCGTTAGTGATAGCACACACACACGCATTCATGACTGAACCATCGAAATTTTTGAATTTCAAAAACTCCCTACCCCGCGCTCTCTCGTCGCGGCTACACCTCATCTTTCCTCAATTTAGCATATTGAACGGTAAAGTGACTATCGATGTAATCCCAACTCAATATTAAAGTTTTCTAGCGTGGATAAAGTTGAAGCGCGTAAATGCATGAATAATTTAACCGTTGGAGACAGATGCGGAGCTGACGAATGAGGCCAGAGAAGACTCCCCGGGCTCAGATTATGTCAGAACAAAAAAATATCACGTATGTCACGTGCATTCAAATGAAAAAGAGAGCTCGAAGTTTCGCGGGCATAAATCACAGAGGGCGAAAAAACTTTTACAAAATATCCAGTAAATTATCCGACGTGAGTTCTCGGTGGCACGCGGCGGTCTGCTTATTGAATAGGGAAGGACATTAGCATACGGCGCACGTCGCAGCGTCTTGCGACTTGCGACGCGCAGCGCGCGGCCCTTGGCGCTCGGCCGCTGTGAAACGCCCGCGCTACGCAGCGCTCACGCGCCTATTTAGCCGACATAAATCGGAGAATAAATAACGATGAGAACAGTAACTGAGTTAAATAAACTTCTGCCTCCAATCGCAAATCCCCACACGAATCTACAAGTACGTTTGTACCTACTCATTACAAAAACATCTGAACACACTTACGAAATTCAATTTTGACAAAATCTCAAGAAACTTAGTGTGTAGATTCATAATAAACGTAACCCGACATCTTAACAATAACTAGATTAATATTCGTTCCACATTTTTTGCTTAATCACAGTGTCACCATTTACCCCTATTGGCTTGTACGACAAATTTTATTTTTGTCAGATGCGCGAGTTATGATTTAGTGTGAAAAATGGAGGTCCGCGGTCGCACCAGGTGATTACCAGCCTGCGAGTGACTTTGCGAAAAAAGTACAATATAAGTAATGGAGGATGAATGATAGATGGCGCGCGGGTGCCCACTCCCGCGCTTGCGATCGCGCTTGCGCCCGCTCTCGTCCGCCCTACTAAAATGCTGACACATTTTAATAACATTACTTTGCGATGTGAGAGGCTATTTATTTGAGGGCCAAGTGTAATAAATAAGAATTCGAGTGTTGGCGCAGACACGTCTCGGGATCATTAATATGTCGATCGGTCTTAGTTCATTCTTTTCCCATTACAGCGAAGCGCTCCACGATCGACTTCTTATACTCATTAATTTAAAGGAGTATCATAACAAATAGTTGTTATTCGAGAAATATAAATACTATTCATTATAAATAAAGTAATCCTACATCATCAATAAGTTGCACAATAAGATAGTTGTCACCTAACCTGTGGGATCGAGGTTTTGTTGTTATTTAACATTGTTTATCACTCGAATCATACTCCACGGGTCGGTTAACAGTAAACAAAGTCACAAACAGGCCCAACTAAGTTGGGTGCGAAGCGTGTTCCTGACCTCAAATAATTTACGACTTAAACAATCCAGTTTACATGCGAACGGCGCGAGACGAGTTATCTACAGCGGTCATATCTGTGTCGGACGTAGCTCCCAGCTAATAGATACTTTGAACAGACATGTTAACGCATGTTCGCCGTGTAATTTGTGCGTGTAATAGTTAAAGTTTCTTGACGCTTTGAACGTAGCGTGGGAGATACAAACGAAGACACGAACAACAAAGTTTAAAGTTCGAAAAGTTGATGCACGTGTAATTACAGAGTTTTCTTCGTTCATGAAGTTTCGGCTATCAAGCTCGGTATTCGGAACCGCTGGCATACTCTTTGTTTGCTATATAATTGGAAGTTATTTTTTTCTAGCTAATATCGTTAAAGTGATTCATCTAAATTATCTCTACTTCGGCGTGTGTCTCACCTTGCGGGGTGCGGGGCGCGGGGGGCACACATTCATCTATAAATTCAGAGGCCGTCTGGTGAGAGCTATTCGAACTTTCATAATTGCGAAGTTCGGGCAAACTTAATAATTCTTCTTCAGAAGTGGGATGACGGCCGAACGAAATATTCACGGAGCGTACAGGCGACGTAACACCCACCCTTGGATCCACTATATTACGCGGGAGTTTTTATGTGCTACAATGTCGCCGACTTCGAAAATCAGCTCCGAATTTTAAGGTAGAAGCAGGTAAGTATTTTATTAGCTTTACTCATGGAAGTAATAACAAAGAAATGGAAAAGTTAGAATCAATATTCTTTTGTGGATATTAAAGCTTTTCCATATTTCGTTTTTGTTCTGTAATGGGTGTATTTATGAAGGTACACAGATTTCAGTACCAATATGTTTGATGTTTATTTGTGTATGTAGAATCGCTTCACGTTCGGTCGCTTTTGATATTTGAAATGTGAGTGTCGGTGTATTAGTTATTCAGAAGTTAAATTTCAGTTAAAACATCGGGATGTGGGTGAAAATACTTGGGTAACTTAAACTAGGAAGTTCTCATCCGTCACCTAACTGATCGCAATACTTCATTTCCCACTTGGCGCGATTGAAATGTTTTATTTGAGCGTTTACCGGGGGTTCTCGCACACGTCTCGCCCAAAACGTATATTTAATAGGTGCCATCAATAACTCACCGTGAAGATGATACGCTTTTGCGGGTTTTCGATCGTTTAACCGCTGGGACGTATCTCAATTGCAAATTAATCGAATTCCTATGCTGGGTGTTGTCGGGCAGCACGCACGCGCCTCGAACACATTTGTAATTCAAAGAAGGAGCCGCGTCCGCGTGTCCTTTCACTAAATCTCAGGAGCCTGCCAGAGTACGTCTCGCAGCGGATCCCTGCCCCATTCAATAAGGTGCTCACTTCGTCACGCGTCACGCTAACCAGCGCTAGCTTCCGTGGTTCAGCCATAGAATGGGATTAGTCGGATAACAAGTAAAGCGACATTAAAAAAGCGAAAAGAAACTCGAGTAATATGAATCTTTATACCACACTGATAATAAATGAATTAGAAAAATTTCAAATCATCACTGTCTACGAAATTACTAAAAATCCTCAATTATAATTACTACCCATGTAGTCAAATTATAAATGTACCTACGAATGTACGGATTAGTTCCGTTTACATCTACAAAAGTAAACTACAGCTTAAGTAAATTACAATATTTTTTTTCTATTCTATGATTTAAAATATTTCAATTCTATTCTATTTGCATTTATCTTAAGGATGTTAATAACACTTCAATTTGATACTATTTTATACATACTTGCTGCCTAAGGCAACAATGACAAAATTACAATAATACTATTCTAGATCAAGTCTTAAAGCTAAACAACAATAAATACATCTAAAGAAAGTTTGCACCACCAATCACAATATTTTCTTATACCACCAATTACTATTCTAGTCGCTTACATTGCTACCTTTTGTACAAAGAAAAAGCAATTTAATTTTCCAGCTTTAAAGTTATTCTTTATTCTTTTCACAGAAACCTTGTAAGTCGACACTAATTTGAAGCTCCTCTAATATACAATAAGTAATAAAAATCGCCCGAAATAATTTTTAATTCAGCTAGACTAGGCTATCGGGATTTTAGACTATTTTATAAAACATTTGTTACACGAATGTTCTACGGAGCCTACGCGGTATTGCCTCTGTTTAGTCTAAATCTTATAATCTAATCTAGTCTATTAACACTTCGACTACAGTCTGCTAATTTACTTCTTAATTCCGACACACTATGAAATGTCTACCACACTTCAGTCTTTACTTGAATTCAAATCTTCCAAATGTTACACATATGATTACACTATTCTAAAGTTTCAACGATAGTGATCAAACTGTAATGTTCAAAATCAAAGTTACTCGCCCTAGAGATGTAGAGGACGTCACACTCCTTTGACGAACTGCTGTTCTCTTGGTAATCACAAACTGTTTGTTCGCACACACAGTGCGTAGGTAGGTAGGGGTAGGTACTAGGTAGGTATTTACACAAATTGTGTGTATGTAAATCCCTTATCCCCGTCCGGAGCAGTTTAGAGAGTGTATCGGCTCGTTGGTGAATGCAGACACGGACTATAGGCTATTACGTATCAGAGCGGGCAGCTAACGCACGCAGCGTGCTCCGTGCAGGGGAGAAGGGACTTACTGTGCGTACAGCGAGCACATTGCGCAGGATTTGTGCGCTCAATACGACACTAACTAGAAGAGATTAGTATGCTAATAGTGCCCATTATGGACTCACGGACACACTCCAATTCAGTGGAATTCTACAATAAAAATTTATGGACGATGGAGCTCGCTAGACTAGCGCATTTATAGTCAAAATCTATTGGCATCCATAAAACAAAATCTATCTAGAGTAAATAAAACAAACAAATAAAATTTCTGACCCATCCAAACACAGCACTCGTATTGCTAAGTCAGCGAGGGCCCGCTGAGCGCTATACAGGTACACTATCATCTAGGTTACATGAGTATCTAAACAAGTGCTGTAGAGGTTAGTACGGAACGTGGTCGCACTCAGCTCCGACCTAAGCAACAAGCACTAAACGTAACAGTTACTAACACAATTAACGGTCAAATATCTTAAATTACAAATGGAGTTGGCACAGTTCGCGACGCGCGGCCACTCGCCGCCTCGCCAGCTAATTACTTGGATTCGAACCGACGGCCGTGTGACCCTTCAAGGAATTTCGTTTCAAGGCGCTAATTTGTCGTAATGTCGCTTCCTTACTTTTGTTTTGGACTTGTTGTGGGACGAGCTGTTAATTTAACTCGATATCATTTGGAACGGACAGTAGGGATGATACGGAGCGCGATTTGTTGGGGTTTAAACGTTAACGGTTCGGATAAGAGTGCAAGTGAGGATCGAACTATGCAAAATAGTTGTGTGGGTATGTCTGGTTCGCGGGCTGCATTCTGAGGGCGAGCGTGTTGAATGTAAGGAATGTTGGCGATGCGGCGGCGGTCGCGCGCGCCGGCCGACCTGAACGCTCCACATGCTCGCTTACCGGCTTGCTGGGCAGGGCCGCGCCGCGGGCACCACGCTGCATGTGCCGCATTGGATGAGTCAGAAAAACGAACGTCAACGTTAAATTACGTTTGAAGTCAAAGTGACGGCCTACTGCTTACTTGACGTATAAACACAGTTCACCGCACGCTAGCCAACTCCACGGTAACACACTATCTCTTCCAGTTTATTTTGGTCGCAATCGATATGTGTTGGTAAATATATGAGGCACTGATCGACCTCCATTCATAAACGATAAATTGGACAATAAACGATAAAACGTTTTGCTTATACAACGGCAATTTCCTTTATTTTAAAATATAGCGGCTTCACAATATCATAAACTTACGAATAATGATATAAGACGATATGTCGGAACAGCGATAAGAACAATAAGTACTATTATAAAACTTATGAATATAAAGTAGACTTAATTATTAATATAAAGAATTTGACACATGGGTTACATATTAATATATATCAATACAATCATGAAAGACTTGTGCATTATGAACGACACCTAATTAATTTACGTATTTAATTTAAAAATATTGGAATTACTTCCTGAGGGATACCGCAACTCAGTGATATTAGAACTGATTCAATATTATAATATTGTTTCATCTGAGCAAATTGTATCGTGCTATATGGGCAAACCTAGTCGGGCGATTGTGACACGCATCTGCGAAATCGAGCCTTACTTTACAAAAACATTTGTTTTTGCGACATTGCATTCCTTGATTCGAGAGGGGAACGTGGGGCGGTAATATCAAAGAGCTATTTCGCTTGAGAAAAGATTTATTTATGTTCGTAAGAATTTCCGGGAGCCGTTTAGCGGGTGTTCCGTGTAAGAGAGGTGTAAAGGCGTGGCGTGGCCCAGGCGGGCGAGCGGCGGCGGCGCGCGCGCCTCTACGAGCTCTGGCCGAGCACGCCCGCGTTTACGTACTCCGCACCGACCAACAGACGACTTTCCGGTGGTATTACTCCCACTACACCTGCGGCAACAAAATAAAAAAGCTACAAAGCCGGCTACGGAGCTACGAGGGTTCCGCCAACAGAATCGCGCTTAAATAAACAAACTCTTCACATGAAAAGAAAAACGTTACGCGGAACCCTGATAAGAACTCATAGTCTAATTCAAAATTAACATGAAGGGGAAAAACAAAAGATATAAAAAATATCATTACACGAGGAGTAAAAGAGGAAGAACATCGCCCTGAGCTCCACTCATCGAATCTTTATGGGGAAACTTGGAATTGATAGTTTCCTGTTTACTGTTTTCGGGCTATTTAAAATTGTTTGCACGCACGAAATGATGGACTAGCTTTATTAATGTAGTTAGAGGGGTGTCTACACGCACGGGGGCCACAGACACGCCGCGGTCGCGCCACCGCCACGTTAGCGCCACGCCCGGCGCGATGCTAGCCCAGATCATTACATGTTATGTCTACGTATTGATTTAATCATCAAAACTGTATCAAGAACACGATGTTATTTACTGAATAATACATTCTGTATTAGTATATTTAAACACGCAATGGATCACGTAAGGGGGAGTCAATTTTAATGCCCGAATACTAATAACGATTACAGTTGCCGTACTGAATGTACAGTCATTTGCTCAATGAAGATATAGAATCGGAACGGGTTCGTTCCGGTAATTGGGTGTAATGGTAACTAAAGTGGTGGTCACACGTTAAGGGTACACTTACACGACGCGATGTATATAATACTTCAAGCTTACGTTATGTATGACTAGTTTAGAGGATGGCGATAAGGACGGTCGCACACGTAGCGATTTAATGATCGAATGTTAACTTATATTACGTAACAATTTCGATAAAAATACCTTAATTTTGACAAAAAATTATTGCGAGGTGTGGTGATTTATAAAGCAATGAATTATTGCTATCAACTTCGATGATTACTTAGACCGACCGCCGGGATACCGGAGCGTCCCGTGTGGTAGCGCCATTTTTACTTTATTTACGTTACACTGAATCGCTTTATAATAACAATAACACGAAGAAGGTAGCGTAAAATAGATGCATCCAAAAATATTATACAACAACAACAATAAATATTAGTATCAATAACATTATCATTTAAGCAGTGTAAATATTTAAAATATAATTGAGACATAACTTTAAAATTAAAATTAAATACATACATATATTACAATATAATTATAGCGAATATTCAATAAACTATTAAAATAACACTTTTCAAGCTCGATGTATTGTTTATTTTAATATTAAAAATGTGTAAAATAATAATTAAGAATCTAAACTAATGCTAAATCGTGATAAGCTATGCAAATAAAAATCTAAATGTCAGTTAGTTATCATCCTCTAAACTTAGTAATTTTTCGAAACTAATTTTGCTACGATCTTATCTGTCTAATGTTTATTTAGATTACTCTTAGATAATATAAGTTACTATTATGTAACGGCTGAACACAACACTAGACGCTCGTACCCGTTACTTGAATACATGTTCAATTATTCATTGTTTTTGAGAAATAAAAATTGTATAAATACGTTGTTATTCACTTGAGTGAATGAATAAATAACATTAATGTAGACGTTGAAATGCGTCACTCTCGTTGTCACACGTAAAAGTTTTATTAATTATTTATACGTGTTATTACGATGTATTTGATACTATTGAATGTATCGTCGGACAGTATATGGATAGTTGAGGGACAAGGATAAATTACTTGTTATTAATTTTATTGTTATATACGATCCGAGTTCCGACTCATTTCGTATGCATGCACGGGGGCCGGTCCCTCCCCACTATGAGTTTTAGTTTTGTTTACAATTTGCGGTAAATTGTTCGTATAATGCGATAGAGCAACTGTAACAAACTTTTTATTGCCGTCAATGGTTTGGTTAACTTCGTTCAATTTTTATTTATAACAAAATTGAACTCGGGCAGCATGTGAGCTGAATGTGTTGTGTCCTGTCCATACCTAGCCCTATCTATAGAAATCCAAACGCTACACACTACAGCATGCTATGTAGAGGATATCAATATATGATTACTGATTCTAAGAAAGTTCTACATCTATTTGCCGCTATCAGTTACACCTAGGATAATAGAGAGGAAGAAGATAAAACGCCTACATGACTCTAAACATTACACGCCTATCGCCGAGATTACTATAATTTAGTCCGGACTACGATTTTCAATAAATATGCAAATTAGATTATCATCTTAGTTGTTTCAGCTTGCAAAGCTTAGATGTTTTGATTATCTCGGCCATCATGGTACTTATAATTGAGTTTCAGAAGATGGTGGTATACACCTTATTCTCCAACGCTTCTCGTCCGATGATCATCGAGTTGCCGATGAAAAATTTTGTCAAGTACTTTGTAACTACGTGTAAACTATGCCCTAGCGGCTTTATCTTCCCTCGGGACGTATTTAATGGTATTTTCTTGTGAAATATGTTAACAAATATGGCTTAGGGAAAAGTGTTCTGCGCCGCCGCGGAACATAAATTATTTGACATTAATTCCGTCCCATTAGAGACTAACAAAGTTGTTTATACGAGTACGTTCGAAAACTGTCTTCGTCGGAGCCGTACGTGCAGTCGTTTCCAAGTTGGAGGAAACGACTAGTTCATATTAAAGGCGCGCGACGAAGTTGTGGATCGTAGCGGCGCGGCACTTTGTCATAGCATGTGCTGCATCAAAGGACGTAACCGCGTTTTACTTCATAATAAAATTATATTAGGGGTGCGCTGCCGACCTTATATTAACATTCAAATCTTGAAAGTTTATTAACCGACTCCTGACCGAATGTGTACTTATTGTGTGATCATTTGTGGTCAACATAGTATTGGTGATCTAAATCACCATTAATTATTATTAAGCCAGTGCTGCCATTGAGTGAGGAATGCTAATGCACGGAATGGCTCAAACTAATTGTGAGCAAATTACTATATGCACCTAAATATACATAGATACTAATTTAGCGTAAAGCTCGTTCCCATGTAAACTAACAAATTTTGTGAATAGCTCTTATAAAGTTGGTAAGACTAGTCAAGACTTGTCAAGAACATTGTTTAGCTACAGTTGTTGTAAATTGGAGAACGTCATTACATTGAATGCTTGTTTTGGACAGAGTAATTACAGGGTTCTTTGGCTATTCAATTATATTTCACAATTCAGCGGTTGGTCGCAATTTTTTCCAACATCGAGGAGATGGGACTGTCTAGCGTGTCGTAAAGCGGTTGAAAAGTAATTAACGCAGAACGATTTGTACAGCTAATGCTAAAGAAAAAGTTGACCGGTTGCGGTGGCCGGCTCGCTACGATAACATCAATCGTTGTTCACCGACTGAGGCGAGGGTCCGGCCTCACTCGCGTCCTGCGCTCAATTACAATTTCCAATAGTGTTCACGTTTCTAGATTCCGTCTGCGTTCAACCGAAAAATTCTCGCGGCGTGCGCCCCAACCGGGAAAAAAGTGGAAAGCCAAAGCTTAGTGGCGTAATTATGGTGGAGCGGAGGCAGCTCAAACACGGAGTGTGGACAAATAACGAGAAGAGTGTTTGTGCAGCTGCGGTCCGCACTCACCTAGCGCGTCCGCTCCCGCGCCTCGCCTCGCCGCGCGGCCTGCCAGCCTACCGGCCTCTAGTGTTATTTCTCTCCGAGTACGCGACCAACTAATCCCGAAAGAACAATAAGAACCGCATAAAAATTAACATTCTAGTCTCATTCGGCGGGATCGACTGGAAGCCGGTGGACTACTTTTAATTAGTGGGAATTCTTTTTCGTCCGTCCCGAGATTTACATAGAAGTCACCACAAAAAGGACGTCACTTTTTCAGTACTTTTGTTTGAATCTGTTTAAATCTCTTTTAAAAGCTTTCGCTGTTAATGAGGAGCGGGCGATGGTGCGATACCGCTACTAGGGAGGGGCAGGCGGGGAGCGGGTCGCCGAGCGAAGGCGAGCTGTGTTTGCGCTAGTGTTTGTTTGCTCGACGCGTAGCATTTGAGAATCGTTAGGGCGAATCGTCTGTAAACATGGAGCGACGCGCTCGCAATTGGCCGGATTGTCGCGACAAAATTCTGGAGATAAACAATAAATAGCATTTCTCAAAACATGGACGTTTTGTAATTGACAGCGTGGCAGATTTATCTAGATGGTTCAGTCATTGTTAGGGATGTTAACTTGTTAGTAAAGTTGTTAGTGAGAGTTCACACGAACTTTTGCCTCGGCGAGTTAGTTGGAATGGGAAGTTAGGACATAGTCACCACAGCAGATTACGAAAATTAGCGTATGCGTAGTTAAGTTTGTAAATGAGCAGCATGTTAGTAGTAAGCGGGTCGGTGTCGGCTGCGAGATAGACGTTAGCGGTTAGTGGAATGCATTGTCGCGGCGCGAGTTCACAGATGCATGGCGTGTACATTGTAAACCCCGCTGAGCTCGAGCGGGTGGTATGGCAGGAGAGTCGCCAGGTGGTGGTAGTGATTGCCGGACAGTTGGTGGTGCAAGCTCGCCAGGGGATTACCTGCAGGGTATGGCAGCCCGAAGCTAGGATAGCCCGAATAGCTACGTCCTGCCGCGTAGGCGGCGTACGCTGCTGGAAACCCTGTACAACAAACAAACACAAGTTATTACGTGGCACTCGAGGTGACAAGCGGGGGTTAATCGCCGAATCGCATGCTTTCATTCGGCGTAATGTTTGAAACGTTGCTTTTTAAATACTGCGTCGCCGATAGCGATTCATTGGTCGATATAAACATTCGGTATGTAACACGTGTCCCGTTGGCCCAATTCTAAAATAGAGCCGTCACATAAAAGGTAGGCAAGTATATCGCACACGCTCGGTACGACATTGCTTTGGACAATGTCCAGCGGATGATATTCTGTAAACATCGTTTAATGTAGCACAGTGTAAGTGGACTAATAACGGCTCCATACTGCCGTAACAGATATCTAGTGTTTCATTTACAAACTTACTGAATTATATCAACAAACAAATGCTACTCTATGTCAAAACATGTCATTAAGTCTAATGTGAAACAAATAGTACGGCGGGCGGTGAACGGGGCGCGTACTATGAGTTTCGATAACAAAATGAAGTTGGATATAAAATGTGGAATGAATGATGGCCGGTCGGTGCTCGGCTGCTACGATTACTATACGGGATCGTTTATCATATTATTGCCAATCAAAATAGTGTATCTGTCAGGCGGCGCGATCCATCACGTCTGCACGTCGGGGCAGGGCGACCACCGCACACTGCGCGACTCTAACATTGATTGAATCTACTCCGCCTCGCCGTCGAACACTTTAACTGAATTACTGAGTTAATTAATTACTGCTATCACCCGTTTTGGCATGTATCTCCGATTAGCACTTGAATAGTCCGCTTGCGAATGTCGTATACAAGCGTGGCACACTTCATACAATGGGATGGTCTGACTGATGCAGGGTATAGCAGATATGAAGTGACAGTTGACAAAATATAATAAGTGAAACCACTTACCATCAGGAAGAGCACCCAATGACCACATGAAATCTAGAAATGTAAAAACATTTACATAAATCGATCGATTCTTACACCTTACATTTATATATGTGTGTTTTATTATGTATAGATTACGAAGATTATATATTAAGTAGAACAATTATATAAATGTGCCTTGAGACACTATTTTGCTTGGCGAAGAATTTAAATTTTACGAGTATTATATGATGATATATTATATCTATGTCTAATTATATAAAGAGCATTCTATATATTTCTAAATGGCAGACTACTTTCAAACATTTGCTAAAGTGACTCCAGATAATGGGGTATGTTAGTTATACTGATCATCGCATCAGATGATATCCCTTCACTCTACAATGTTAATCTATTCTACACATTGTTAGTCTAGAACTAAACATGTTAAACAAACAAACATTTTTAAATATTTTAGAAATGAATTTATTAATTCTAAATACTACCAAATTACCTACTTAATAAGTTAATAAGTACAATTAATACTATTAGTTTACGAGAGCTATGTTCGTAATACAAACATTGGGAGTATCAAGATAGATCTTACTGTTAAACCAATAACAGTTAATCATGAAGAGTCGGAAGGTTTACAACTAAATATAAACTAATAGTGAACATATGTTTAGTCGTAACTGCATTGCACAATATTATATAAATATATATGTAGAGTAAGGATTAAATTATATAGATTACCTAATTTTATCACAAGACTATGGACACACAATAATTTAATGGAAATTTGGATTTACCTAATATAAATATTTCTTTACAAACAATGTATTGTAAATAAAATCAACATAAATAAATAAAATGTCTAATGATCTCCATAAAACTGATAAGAAACATCCACATAATAAGTACCTCTTTCCTTCCACTGATAACATTTTTGAAAAGCCGACATCAAGCTGAAACGCTAATCATGGTAGAGCTAGGATTTAATATATAATTTATGAAAATATTGTCAAACAACACCGTCACTCGTCCGCAAGTCATGACATTCTATGCTTTGGCGCTAAACATTAAGTACTTCATGGATGGAAGTGTAGCAAAATTGGCAAGAATCATTCGGACCAAAAGGTCCACGTAAATATTTCATATTAAAAAGCTACTCAGAAATCAGAAAATACCAGGCTCAATACTATAAATCTTCTAACTATGTAAGTATATGTATTGTAAATCAAATAGAATTAAGCACCTACGACCTGGTAGAAAAATATTGCTCTCTATCAACCCTACGCAAAATTGTTCCTGGTTTCATTCTACTTATTCTTGAAAATGTATGAATATTTATATAAATTATTGTATAAGAACTGATTCTATAGCTCTTCTAAATTATTTTGGTACACATTTCGAAAATCTGCTAACTAACTGATTCTAATGGCAATTACTAAAAATAAGACACTTTGGATATTATCAGTTTCCTTAAAGTACATTAAAGTTGTCACTTTGGCTTGGTAGGAGAAGAGAGTAGGAATGTAAGAAAGAGCTAGGAATGGACTAGGAAAGCTGTCTCAGCAGAGGAATGCAATAAAGAATCATTTGTAGTTTCTAATCAGAGAAGCCCTAGCGGGTAGCGAACTAAAAGGGGTGGTGCGGATGTTGCTGAAAGAGGATCGCGGATCAGAGGGGCAGAGGAGTCGGGATCGTGGTGTGAGTGAGAGGGGAGTACAGGGTCTGGATGTCGAGCGCGTGCGCGTTGAGGAGTTCAGAGACAGAGTAAGTGAGTGGTGGAAGTGCAAGTGGCGCGAGCGCAGGGCGCGGGGGGCGCGGGGTCGGGCGGAGTGCGGCTAGTGCGCGGCGGTAGGCAGCCGCGGCGGCCCCGGGAGCGCCCGCGCCTGCGCCCGCGCCGACCAGCAGCTGCGCGGGCGCGTGTACCGGGTACGGCGCGTACCGCACGCCGCCCGCGCCGGCCACGCCGCTACCTAGCAACTCACCGTACGCGCCGCGGCCAGCGGCTCTCGTCTTGGCCAAATTAGCTGGGAGCATGACTTCTTTCGGTTGTGCTTTTTTGCATTCCACCTGTAACAAACAAACGCGTTGTAGAACCTCTCATATTATAGAACCAGGAAAATGTACATTACGAAAAATAGAGACTTGTCATATGTGTAATATATGCAGGTTTATAACAATATTGACTATTGTATTTTTGTATTCTAAATCGAATCAAATCTCTAGAGTTTTTACCGACTTCATTGTACGTAATGATCAGCTGAATAACCAAAGTATCTTGAAGGGAAATTCGCAGAAAAATATACAATCACTGATAATATATTTTTTCAATTCATCATCTTTTTCCTATCGCGTCTGTCGTATTTCATTCATTGTTTGTACTCTCAGCTATAACTGAAGTCAGCAGAATGAAGCAAATATCTTCAAGATCGGGTGACTCGCAAAATTATGGAAGAAAAGGGGCGACGAAATCGGTCGACAATCCGTTATGCTTCACGGTTCGAGTAACAAATTGAATTTTAATTTGCTTTACCAAGTCAAGGAGCTTATCATTGAATACTTATTATACAGCACGACAAATTTTACGAGCTCCAATGTAATTATTCGCTATCATTATGTCGAATCTCACAACTTGTTTGCGAACGAAACCTGAGACAAAACCTGTTGATGTCGAATTTTAAAAATATACACATTTTTCAACAATAAGTGGATTAAGTTGTGAAAAATATCGGCAAATTTAAGCGAGGCCATAAATAAATAAAGCATCAACGTAATCCCGACGCTCCGCCACGGACTACGAAAACCAAAGTAAATTAATGTACCTCATAATTAAACCCTACGTTTAATCGATCCATTAAGTAATTTTAACGAACAGCATGGCTCTCTTCAGTGCTTGTATCTTCCTCCCGCACCCCGCACGGGAGGGCTGGAGGCAAGTATAAATTACCCAATCTACGCTAACCTAAACCTCTAGCAATAGAATTTTCGCTACGGAGCGCCGACATTACAGAAAAGTATATAGGCTTAAATTAAAGCCGGCCGAATGAATGACTCGGGCGTTGTTCATTTTTCAGAGACGATTTAAAAAATGATGTGGTAAGAACAGATCGGAACATTTAAAGTCTCGCTTGAGTTACATTTTTCATAGTGGTGCATAATCGCGACGTGTCCCCGTTCGGTGCGGGGGGGCGGGGAGGGTACATAAACTCGCGTCCACATTTGTCACGCGGCCGTCACAAGCCGACAAATGAAGGCTTTGCCACGCCGTTCGCGCACTTTGTGCACTTTGCACAACTTTCTGCGTCGACATGGAACTACGTGCCTTTGCATTAACGTGGGGAAGTGAGTGAGCGAGGCTTTACAGCGCTGAGTGTCTTTCCACCAAGTTTTATGCCTAGATAAGGCTGAATAATCAACACGTAATATAAAACTTGGGGACTGAGATTACGACGGCACATAATAAAGCACGTTCTTAGCCATACGGTGCATGTGAAAGTTGAGATATTATACTAAAACTAGTGCAATATAAAATCAAGAAGTAGTGCTGTTGCACCAAAAATACAGTAGAAATTGTGTTAGGAATATCGGTACTAAATCGTCCTGTAGCATGAACGGTATTCTTCGATCGTCCGCGACATAAAAATAGTGAGTGTCGCCATTTGTCAGGAGCGATAAAGCTTTACAAATGAACAGGCGCCTACGCCAGCAGCGGACGCCAGCGCCGTGGCCACCCCCCATTTGTTCGGCAACACGCAACCAAGGGGACATGCCAGATAAATGCCAGCCTAACTTAAAACTCAGATAGGAAACATCGTTTGTTATACTGTCACATGCACCTCCGTGTAACACGGTCTATCTAATTGAATGGAGAAGTCGAGACGAAACACGAAAACACAATCTGTTCTGTGTAATCAGCAGCGGAAAATGATTCCGTTTTAAATCTACCTACAATAATACGAACAGCCATGAAGAAAATTCAGCGAGGGGATCCGACGTTAATTGATGTCGCGTCGCTGGCGAGCGGAGTGGGAAACAAAAGCTCACAAACAATTCGCATCGGAGTTCGCAATCCCGATCAAGCGTTCGAGATCGCGACGCAGTTTAATGACACGAAAAATAACAAAGGTAAATTGTATTTAGCCCCCGCTAGGTAGGCGCGCCCTCCCGTCGATATATCGATCTGACTCGATCGAGTAGTATTCGACACCGACGCGAAGATCTCGGTTTAACCGAGCGGACTTAAGATGTGCTTCAGTGCGGCATGGCTTAATGCGGCCTCAGCGAACCACCTCGTGGAAACATGCTCCTAATCCCATCGATGTATGAGGAATTTAATTGTTTCGCGAGAAAACACAGCGTTTTATGCTCCACCACCTCGGCTGAACATTCGCACGTAAACCTGAATTAATACGAATCTGAAAGCAGTCATTAAATTTTCGCTCGATTGATTTTGAGTGAAAACCTTTTAAGGTAAAACAGTAATGTCAATAAATTCAACGGAGAAGAATCGTGCCTACCTTTTAAGAACATTGATTTTGTATTTCTCGGAAGGCTGCCTGTTTGTACATTAATAAATTATTAAGATTCTTACAATTAATGTAATTTTTTGTCATTGTCGCGAGAACAATGCTGGAGTTTTCACTTCACGTTTACCTTTTATTGGACATAAAAGTTAAAAAATATAAATGACTAAAATAAATTTAAGAACTCTTCAGGTGAAACATTTACATTTCGAGAGATAAAAGGTGAAATTACCATTTTATTCATTTGTATAGGGTATTGTGGTGTGTAATATTGTGGGTGCCGATGAGTTATTGCTGGGCGGGCCGTGGCGGGACCTTCGGAAACAAAGACGCTTAGATTAAGCGATGGTGTTGTAAAACGATACAAAGTTATGGGTGTTTGTTACTGTATCGCACCGGGAAACACTGCCCGATACAAACGTCCAGTTGCACAAATAAATTCTAACGTGATAGTATTCCGAATCTTGTTACTTTTTCTTATCTAAAAGAAGTGTAAAATAAATCAAGATTTAAACTACACACTTTTCGGAAACACTCGCATGTGTGTTGACGTTAAATGCATTTTATAGGATTTTGCGTTTGTTTCTTTGTATCTTTATTTCTTTTAGTTGTGGACCACTATTACGGGCACCCGGCCAAATAGACAACTTTATAAAAGGATAAAATAACTCGGCTCTTCCTAAACGAATATAAATTGGCGCTATGAACGAGTGGCATTTTGATTTGAATTCGAAAACGAGCTTAGTAAAAGGAGACTAGAGGCTTCTCCTAAAAATGTGAGACGATTTTCATATTAGCGGCCTAACGCAGTGGATATAAAAAGTCAAGAAAGTACTAAGCAAGCAACTTTGCTGAGAGTAATGCGGTGCGGGCGTAGCGTACGAACATACGTGAGAGATAAACGGAGACGACAGGGGGAAGGGTTAGGGAGGGGTGAATGGGGGGGAGGAGAGCGTGCTCGCTAGATAAGTTTATCAGGGAAACCTCTCGCCTTCGTATTGACAGAGCGTCGCAAGCCTGGCCCTGATTGCCGCTAAGCGGAAGCCGGAGCGTGGGAACCGGAGCCGAGGTAACAGCTCCAGAATTACATATTTACCGAGATAAAATTCTAAGAGTACGCTCACATGAAGCTGACTCAATAACAACTAGAATTCACTTTTGAATAAAACCCTGATACAGCTTTTAACATAGCGAAAATGGGGCATCTTGCATTAGCATTTAAGAGACTGCTGGAAAATACCTAGTACACAAATATTCGAGATAACTAGACAGCTCTGAAGAAAAATCCTACAGTGAACGTACGACGTTACGTAAAGGAGATGAGTCACAAATCTTGCGCTCAACAGGTCACGGATAATGAAATACTCTGCCGCACCCCGGGAGCTCTTTCCATATTTACGTAACTGTTGTTCGAAGAAATAAGATAAGCGCGAGTCGACGTTTTCCGTTGAGTTTCGGCACGGTTACTTAAAGTGTTGGAGTGTTTACTGAGAGGGTGAAGAGGAGGGACGCGTCTTGATGGGCTGTAATGCGCGAAATTCAAATCAGATATAAGCGATCGAGTCGTCGCGTCGCGTCGCGTCGATAAGCGGTACCTGCAGCATTACCGCGCCCCGACCGCCGCCGTATTGCACACCTTTATAACGATACGATATTCTCAAATGTAATGCAAAATTCTCACCTCAATGCCCTTTAAAATATTCGATAAAACGTGTCGACCAAATAGAAAATACGTTTCCGTTTATCAATGTTTACATGCTGCAGTCGTCTTTACGGCATCGGCCTTTAATGGCTATAAACACTAGAAAAATAGCAATCGTTTTTCTTTTAAATGTCTACTAATATCGACCCTTTAACATACAAAGAGAACGTCTATTTGTCTGTACATAATCTACTGCAAATGTTGGGTTCATACCAGAACCAAAGACTTGGAAATAATACTCCGTGTCACATTTACGTTGCATTTTAAATTACAGCCGCACATTCACCGTCATAGAAATGTTAGTTAGACATTAAATATTAAGGGGTGGCATACACGGGCGGCGCGGCGTGCAACATTCATTGCGGCGCGGAAGCCTGTCAAACGCCCGCGGCTATTTCTGGGAAATCGATTGCAGTCGATAGCACCGGCGAGTTTGTTACGCGAAACCACCAAGACGTTTTACATCGCACGTTTTATTGCCACATAACTTTATATTTATTTACCTTTATTTCTTTAAATGTCGCAAATCACGTTTATTGCAACGTCTGCACAACATCTAACGTAAGAACACTCGATATTTTAAGCGCAAAATTAATAAGCATAAGTAATATAAACTTCTAACCGGTTTGTCTAACTGCAGCCGAGAACGACAAACAACTTGGATAACTTCTAACATAATCCAATTTAATAGTTGAACAAACAAAATACCAATTAAATTGAAAGCAAAACGAGCAAAGTGTATATTGGCAGATACTCAGCGGTATTAGCGGCGTTTGCAATTGTAAGCAAACATACGATTACCGACCACTCGCTGCTTTACTAATTCGAGACTTAAGAGATCGCTT